AGATCACGGGTAAGTCACCGTCTCCCTCTAAGCTTCAGTTTACCCATATGTTAACTGGGCATGATAATGGCGCCGACTTCACTATGTTACTGAGGGGATTCTAGGAGGTTCAGGCCTGCAAAACTCCTAACATAGCACTGACATGTCCCACGAATGCAGCCACCAGAAACATAACACAGGGGTATCAGTGATTCCAGAGGCTAATGGGTGTAGATCAAAGACCACAGGGCTCAAGGGAGAGAAGCTGAGACCGCTTCCAAAGCAAGCTGTACACCGCCTGTGACGGCGCCACGCACGCGGTCTGATCAGTGAACTGAACTTCTGTTCGTGTGGAATCATCACTGACCTGAGTCTCAGAACTCTGCTCCCTGCTCCTCAGGTCTCCTGTTTAGCCTCCTTGTGTCTTTGCCCCTCCTGTTCACGTGGTGGGGGGGAGGTGTTTCAGGTCTCCTCAAGAAGCCGACCGGACTAATCTGCAATCTCGTAACTGTAATGAACTACTCGGCTCCAGGCTCCCCTCTGACCCCAGTGGGGTTTCTTCCATTACAGCAAGACAGTCCCGAGGCCCAGCCAGGCCCACCAGTGCCCGTCCACGTCCACTTCAATGGCACTTCCAGACCCAGGGCTTCCTATGCCCACAGAGCTGACAAACAGTCACCAAAGAGGAAAGCCAGGCCCAGCACCCTCAGAGCAACCGGTGCGGGAACTGCTGTTACAACATAGAAATGAAGGGCCAGCAGGAGGGCGAGCAGAACCCTAAAACGGATCCTGTGTCTCCGGCACTCAGGTCTCCCAGGAAGGGCTGTCAGGGTACTTACCAGTCCTGTGGCCTCTGTGTGGTCCCCAGGTCCTACAGACAGGTCTCAACATGATCCAGGCTGGGAGCCCAATAAGAGGAAATCGGGACCTTTCAGTTCAAACATTTTGGCAAAAGGATCTAGGGATTCTCCCTCCCCACCCTCTTTCTTGTGTGGTACCTACACAAATTAAATATAACATCATTTTCTGTCATTTAGGCAAATCATAATTCCCACAGTTCTGAAATGCACACATTATAAATAAAATATAAACCTATCCAGACTGAATTGAAGCCTCTGCTTGCAGAGAACAGTGCTAGAAAAGTCATCATCTATATTCCCTTCTGCTAGGTAAGCAGGGATCCCTGTGCAGGCTCTAAGGTTACCAGGGGAACTGCTCCGGACAGGGGTAGCCCCTCAATTAGCCATAAATCTCACAACATTGTCAAAAGAACTCCCTTAAAGCCATTTATCTGCTTCTAGAAATGAAGCTATCATCAACTTATCCAAGGGTCAACACACCTTACAAATCATTTCACCCAAATTTATTTATTTTAATAAATCCCAAGCATAGCAGGGCTCATATGATCTTAGTTCCTGGAACAGGGATCGAACCCTTGCCCTTGGTAGGGAAAGCGCAAAATCTTAACCCTCACTCAAATTTAACATACAAAATAACTAAGGTCCAGAGATATCAGTTTTTGTCCATGCTCACTGAGCAATACCCCAACGGTAGGATAAAAAACTCCAGCTTGGGAAAACTCTTGCCTAAAACTTCCATGGTTTCAAATAGAAGACCTTGCAAAGGAGTATACCTATCCTAAAAATACTCACAATGGACAGTCTTTTAAAAATATGTCTGTAAAGTGAAATTCCGTGTAACACCTTAGTATCCCGCCCCCCACTCCCTGCCTAATAGAGACTTAACATATGGAAAACCAAACCAATCACAAATGTTCTTCCCGGCTGTGAGGCCCTAAGACTGAAGGCCAGCTGTGTCTGCTCCACCTCCTGCTTTGGCTGCTGTCCAGAGCTAGCGAGCATCAGTGTAGGTTCAAGTGGATATCCTCAAATCCACTGCCTTGCCCATAAAGCACAGCATGGAGAAAATCACAGACCCTGCCACCTCGCTAGCAGCCATTTACTGATGAAGTCAGTATCTCTCTTTCTCTAGTTTTACAGATTCTACAACCAGTTTTGCACATCAAAATTTATGACACATGGGCTGACAGCAGGACAGAATATTAAAAATCAGGACCTCCTTGAGAAATCTGGGCCATCCGGTTGCCATGCCGACACCCCACAATGCCAAACAAGTGCCTCCAAGGTCCAGAAACAACTTGGCTGGCTTCAGATCACCCAGACACTGTGAAGCCAGAGCTGCCTCCTGGCCCAGGCTGTTATGCAGACCCTCCCTTTCCCAGCTCTGCTCTCTGATCCCCCAGGGGAGGGATGATGACGCCTGTCTGAATTTTCTTAGCCTCTGTCAGCAGAGCTGGCTGCATCATTCCCTAAGAATCTGAAAATCCACGTGCAGCGCATTCTGGCCCAACTAGACAGGGACATGTTTTGAAATGGCAAGAAGACCAGTGAGAGGTTAACCATGGATTTCAGAGAGAAAGCAAATCTTCAGCTGCACCTGCCCCTTTTAAGCTTAACAAAGGGTTTATCTCCCTGAGAAGCTGAACACACATTCCTCTAGCTCTCTAGTTAAGAGTCAGGCTGGAGCTGGAATAAAGTATTAGTGGGATATGAAGCTTGGATCATTGATGGCTCCTAGAGATGGGCAGAAATCCTTCACTCATTTAACAGTGCTTCTCAAGTCTTGCTGTGCTCATCAAGGTGGGGTTGCATGAAGCTTCCTGCACAGTCCCTGAGTGATAGCTGCCACTCAATGAAGCGACAGGCCAATGGCTGAGAATCCCAATGAAGTGAAATACCCCAGAAGATGGGAGTGCAAGGCTATGTCAAAGGCAGGGTGTGACTGGGGATCAACGCCCAGGGAACAGACATCCTGGGCTTAAAGCCTAAGAACGTCAAGGGAGCGGGCTATGCCTGGAGTGGCCAGAGAAGGCTCTGCAGCTCACTCTCGGAACTTCCACTCTCCCTCTCTTCCTGCACCTCCATTCCTGGCTCCCCGGTTCTTCTTCATACTTGAAACCCGGCTTCCAGTTCACAGCCCTCTTCTAATCTGCAGCAAGTCCCACCGCAGGGGAAGAAGGAGAGGACGTTCACTGCAGCCCCCATGACCTCCAATTTCCACCCCCTCAAAATGAGTGCCACCCACTTTCAGCAGCGCCCCCCAAGCCCCCGGCACCCTCCCAGGCTCTCAGTCTGAGTGGCCTAGCCTGGTTTCTGAAGCGCAGGCACCTGTGATGAGACCAGCCTGGAGCTCGAAGCAGCACTTGGCTTCTCTGTGCTCTTCCCTTCCATTCCCCCTCCTCTCTCCCCTCCCCTCCTCCTGGAGCTCAGACCCTCCTCCCATCACGTCACCACAGAGAAGGACAGAACATTTCGGCAGTCTGCGTCTCCCCTGCCACTCCAGGCCCGCCTACCCTGGACCAGAGCTGGCCCTCTTGGAGAGCAGGAACGCGGCAGCTTGGATGAGTCCTCCTTGAGGACGCTCCCCCGGGGTCGGTCAGGGGCCGCTCCTGCTTTGCCCAGTTCTGACTCCGATCTGTCTGTCCACCCAGATCCCAACTCCCTGGGATCTTGACCCAGGAGGCTTTTTGCCTCCATCAGCCTGTCTGTCCAAACGTCCACAAGAGCTTTGGAAACAGTGTGCTAGCGGCAGGGACCCTCAGCCCAGAGCAGAGCGTTTCACCCAATCAGGGCGCAGTCCCAGAGAGTTCGGCCAGAGGGGGAGCTGGGTATGGGGGAGTGGGGCTGGGGGAAAACCCACGGACCCCAAGGTCTCCTCAGGCACAGCCTGGAAATGCTCTTTTGCAGGGGATAGCTACTTCTTTTCTGGTAGGTAACAAGACACGGAGTCGGACAGGATGGGAACACGAGAGCCCTTCCACAGCGTCAAGCTCCCTACAGACAACACTCCGTTTTCCTGGGGTTCGGCTGCCTTGGCACGAAGACCTCAGATTCTCCCCCGCACAAGCCTTCGCCCTCCTGACCCTGCGCCTCCCAGGGGAGCTCCTCACTGCTCCTTCCCCAAGGCCAGGCCTTTCAAAAGGGCCACGCTGCTCCACTCCCCCACCCTCAGCCCCACACTCCGCGTCCCCGGGCGGCCCCGCCCCTCAGTCCAGTCCCGAGGGTCGCCCAAGAGTCTCGCCCACCATCCGCCCCCATCCGAAGGACGCTGCCCGCCCGAGCGCGCCTCTCGCGGGTCCCGGAGCCTCCCGTCTCAACAGGTGCCCCTGCCTCACACAGCTGTCACCCGGGGCCCAGGCGGAGGCGGCGACAGGCACGCCCCAGTCTAGGCCCCCAGAGCGCCCGGAGGGCACCCCTGCACCTCCATCGACGCCCCAGCCATGCCCCGCCGCTCCCACTGACGTCGCGGGGCTGGCCGCAGACACTGCTAGTTCATCCGTGGTGATGGACTGGTGTTGGGGCGAGGGACGCCTTCAGGACGAGACCTTTCCCGATCCAGCGAACCCAGGGGGTAGTCGTAGGGAGTCCTCATGACAAGCAGGTTCAAGTTGACCGGGTCTGAGAAGGGGGCTCGAAGTCCAGCACAGGCCCTGGCGACCATGCCTCACCCAGCGTCCCCACCCCACGTCCTTTGCCCCCAAGAGGCTGGAGAGAGGGAGAGCACGGCCACCGACGCGCTTAGCAGCGTGCGGTTCCCATTGCCCACTCGCGGTGCGCAAGGTCCAGCTGTCTCCGCCGACCGGTGAGGCGGGGGTAACCCCTAGTCCCCAACCCCCGGCCCCTGCGCCCGGGGCCCCGCGGCGCAGTGCCGAGAGCGCCGCCACGTTCCCAGCCGCGCGCGCACGCCGGGCCCACCAAACTTGCAGTACTTTCTCCCAGCCCCCACCCGCTGTCACCCTCCCTCCATCCTCGCGCCCTGGCCCCGCTAGCCCGACAGAGGTTGCCATAACAACGGACAGGAATGCTCCAACGTATACAAAGCCGGCGGAGCGCGGCGGGCACGCAGCCCCCGGCCCGGCCCCGCGCCCTCTGCAGCCGCGCGGGGCTAGGACGCGCGCCGCGGCTCCCCGGCCGCCTACCCCGCGCGCGGCGCGTACTCACAATGAGCGGGATGGTGCGGTCCTCTCGGAGCTGCTCTGGCCTCCCGCCGGCCCTCTTTGCGCCCCGGCCGCCGGAGGATGCTGCGTGGGCTCGGTTGTCCTGCCATAAGTAGTAGAAAGTGCCCAGGATCCAGGCTACGGTCAGAATGGCGATGGCATTGGCGCGGATCTTCCTCATGGTGGGCGGGCGGACGCCCGGAGTAGGGGCCCTGGCCGGCGTGCTCTCGGGGCCGGGGCGGGGGTCACTCTCAGCCCCAGCTGTTTGTTTTCGCTCGCGCGGGGCTGCTCGGTCCTGCAGAGCAGAAAAAGGAGAGAGGTGGGGGGTGGGGGGGTGATAGGGAGAGACAGGAGCGCGGAGCGATCCTCACGGTCCTAATGCCCTTCAGCCCCAGGCGCGCGCCTCCCTCGGGCGCCCATTCATTCGCTCGCAGAGCCCGCCCCGCGCTCCAGCCCCTGCGGGTGCCGGGCTGCTGCGCCCCGGGAGAGGAGCGCAGCCGACGCGAAGCGGCGCGGGAGGAAGGCCCGGCGAGGCAGACGCCCGCGGCGGAATGGCGACGGGCCAGAACCAGTCTCGGCTCCAACTGCTCCGCGACCGAGCTCCCGGCGCCTGCCCCCGCGCGGCCCGGGTCTGTCCCGCCTACCTCCACCCACTCCCGGACCGAGCGGCCCTGAGTCACCGGCTGGAGATGCGCGACCCCGGCCGGGGCCCGCGCCACGGAGCTGCAGTTCTGGGCTGCGCTCTGAACAGGGTTTAAGGTGTGTTCGGCGAGACCCTGGGAAGGGGCCGCTGGGTGCGAAGAGAGTCTGGAGTTTGCACCGGTATCCTCCGCAGCCTGGGATGCCGAGCCGCCAGAGGGCCCGCCCCGAGGAGGGATTGGAAGCCGGTGCACTTGACATTCGAAGAGAGCGAAGGGGAAGAGACGCGGCTTCGCTGCCAGTGAAAGGAGATTGTGGGTACAACCACCTCACCTCTTCCGTTGGCCTGGGGCTCCCAGCGTTCAAGGAGCTTCCCTCCACCCCGCCTCGTCCGCTGGACAACTCTGGGGAATCGTCATCACCGTTTCATCAGAAAGAAGGGAGGAGGCCAGAGAGGCTGGAAGATTCGCCCGAGGCCACAAGACTAATTAGTGGCAGAGCCCAGGCTAGAAACTACCTCTCCGTCTGACACTTTAAGCAAAGTTCAAAACACGGTGCTGAGAGAAACGGACAAAGAAACCAGTGAGAGTCAGCCCCGGCTCTATGAAAACCATTCTCACTGGAGCAGAAAGCAAGATGGGCTAAGTTAGTTCTAGAAGACCAGCGCAGGATCAGGCATGAAACAGACACTCAGAGAATAGATGTTAAATTAACTAACCATGCAGAGGTCACAGAGGAAGAAATACTGTACCGTAAGGCAGTCTTAAGGAAAGGCTTCTCAAAGAAAGTGGATAAATTCTTCGAATAAAGTCTTAAGAGGCAGGAAAGGGGAGGACAGGGCAGGGTGTGAGCTCCATGAACAGCCTGAGCAAAGGTCCAGAAGATGAAAGTACTTGATGTTTTCAAGGAGGAGAGGTACCTGGTGGCACTGGGCCCCAGGATCTGGAAAGTTCTTGGTGAGAGTTGAGGTTGGCCAGGCTGAGGGAGTCTGGACCCAAGAGGCCCTTGCATGTGACAGGCAGGTTTGTCAAGGAGTTTGTGTCCTGCTGGTGCTCCTGGACACTGGCTGGTCTGAAAGACCACCTCGGGTCCTAGCCTCTAAATGAAGCTGCCTAGGGAATCAGGCAGATGGTGAGGTCACAGCTCATGCTTTCCCCTACCACCTCCATCAGCACCCCTCCTTCCCTGTTTCTCCAGCAGCAGGACTGAAATGTTCATGCAGTAGACGCCTCATACATTTCCATTGGAGTGAAGTAAATTAAAGGAAGAAAACCTAAGTGGGTTTTCTGGCTGCAGAAAAGTCATTGTTATAACTGCAATATCCTTTCCTCACTCTGAAGTCTCACCATGAGGACAAATTAAAAAATGACCCTACCCAGAATGTGACCCTAGAAAGAAGAGGATGTGCAAAATGTATCTCACCAAGAGCTCTGTAAGAGTAGCAGGGAATCTGAGGCAGGAGGAGATGCTAACAGGAGCAATAGGAGAAGGTGCAGGGATTCCTACCAGCCTTGCTTTCCCCTGTCTGCCTTGCCTGGAGAGTTTAATTAGACTGCAGCAATGACCAGGACTAATTTCCACAGACCAAGAAAACCACTATCCAGCCACTGTCTGGTTTCTGCCAGAATCATGGGGCAGATCCAGGGGTCATGTTCTTTCTGGGAAGCCAGGAAGACCTTGCTCCTTAGGAATCAGGCCCCACAGGCATCTCCAGACAACGAGAAGATGTAAGGGAACTGCCATCCTGGTGTTGCCACCTCCATACAGGCTCTCAGTTCAGCCGGATGGGAAGAGTCGGAGACTGGCCTCTGTTGCTATAGGCTGCTCCCTTCATCAGCCTGGTCTTTGCATGTCTAGTTGCCTTTGGTCATGAAGAACCAGGTGAGAGGATGTGGAATCCAAAGACATCCCATCAGCACCCCTCAGCATGGGGGATGAAGCTGGATCAGGCCAAACCGAAATCAGGCTGATGGGTTTCTGATGGCTCCAGAAGGAGGGCTCCAAGAGGAGAGGGAGGGAAGGAGGATCTGGAATTTGGCAGGATTTCTGCAAGTCTCACCACTTATTCCCCAGGGCTCAGTGGGGAGGATGCCATACATCTGCTCCAAATTGTCACTGCCTGGTAACTCTGTCCCGAAGAAACTCTGTCCCGAAGAGAAACTTCACTCAGTTCAGTTCAGTTCAGTTGCTCAGTCGTGTTTGACTCTTTGTGACCCCATGGACTGCAGCACGCCAGGCCTCCCTGTCTATCACCAACTCCCAGAGTTTACTCAAACTCATGCCCATTGAGTCGGTGATACCATCCAACTATCTCATCATCCTCTGTTGTCCCCTTCTCCTCCCGCCTTCAATCTTTCCCAGCATCAGGGTCTTTTCAAATGAGTCAGCTCTTCGCATCAGGTGGCCAAAGTATTGGAGTTTCAGCTTCAACATCAGTCCTTCCAATGAATATTCAGGACAGATCTCCTTTAGGATGGACTGGTTTAATCTTGCAGTCTAAGGGACTCTCAAGAGTCTTCTCCAACACCACAGTTCAAAAGCATCAATTCTTTGGCACTCAGCTTTCTTTGTAGTCCAACTCTCACATCCATACATGACTACTGGAAAAACCATAGCCTTGACTAGACAGACTTTTGTTGGCAAAGTAATGTCTCTGCTTTTGATATGCTGTCTAGGTTGGTACCCACTCACTCCTCACCAAAAAAAGAAAAAAAAAAAAATAGGAGTGTAGCCTCTCTGGGGGGGTGTTAGACTTCACAGGCAGCCCCTCTTTAAAAATAAGCACAAGAAACTTCCCTTGGGGGTCGGGGGTGGGGGTAAGGGGGCAAGTGATTATCACGCTCATTGGACCGCCAGAAATTTGACATAGAGGTTGAGTGATGAGTCACTAGTCACAGGCACACTGGAAGAGTTGGGAACTCACAGCTGCAACCGTGGCTACAGCGCCTGGTCATTCTTCCAGATTGTAATTCCAAATAGATGCTGAGCTGAGGCTCAGCCCTCCCTGAGATGGATTTCAGTGTTCAGAGATGACTGGGAGCATCGTCCCCTCTCTAGGCCTAGCTAGGAATGACTCCAGAAGAACTGCAGAAGCAAAGCAGCACCTAAGAGACTTAGTGGTGCCTAACATCAGTGAACTTGGAAGCCAACAACAGTGATAATAATAACTACAGTTGGCTGAGTTCCTAGCAGGTGCCAGCTGCTGGGCCGGGATCTCACACACATTATCTCTAAAGCCCCTGAAAAAACGAAATAAAGCCCCTGAAACCTGCAGGTGGCTCAGGGACGCTCTCAACTGCAGAGTCACACAACAGGTGGGCGGAGGGGCTGGGTTCAGTCCCATTTTCCATACCAGGGTCTGGGCACCAGTGTCTGGCTTCTGAGACCACTGGGGACTCTGCAGGGCAGTTAAAAGTTCTGTGTGCAAAGACCTCTTACTGCTTTGGGCCTCCATTTTCTTTTCTGTAAAAGAAGAGATGTAGAGAGATGACCTCCAGGTCATCCATTCTGGACTCCGGCTGTGCCATTTTGGACTTGCAGTTCCTTGGGCATTGTCTCTCTTGTGACCTCACTCTTGGACACTGTCCCCTTCTCTTTAAAAGTGCTGAAGCTAGTACTCATGTAAGCTGGGCAAAGTGCCACATGGTCCTGGCATTCCAAGAGGTCCCAGGAAACTGTCTGTGAGTTTGCTGCTTGGATTTGGGGGGTGGGTAACAGAGGGCAGAAGGGATATAGGTCAGTGTGAGGCCCTAGGTCTGGAGTTGGACAACGTGAATTCAAGCACTGGTCCCGTCACATGTGAGAGTGGTTTGGGCAAATTCTTACTCACTCTCTTAGCCATGGTTTCCTCAACTGGAAAATGGGGCAGTGACAGCCCTTAACTTGTAGCATTGTTGGGAAAGGTAGGGTGAGGTGAAGCAAGTACCACCCAGTGCTTTAGTAACCACTGGTCCTCGGAAGGTCCATCCTCACAGGCCCTGCTGCTGGCTGCTGGGGTGAGGGGACTCCAGGAGGGCCTGCCAGGCACATGCAGGGGACTGCTCACCAGGGCTGCAAAGAACAGATCCCCAGCGGGCCTCTTCAAGGCGCGACAAGGATGACTGTCCTGCCCGACAGGTCCATGGCTGCCTCTTCCAGGTCCTCTGCTCAGCCGGCTGGGTGGAGGGGAGGGGAGAGGCAGAGTGGGGCCCCAGCCTCTGCAGGAGTCCATTTTTGCCGGCACAGCCTTTACCCTAGAGACTCTGGGCCACGTCGGAAGCCTCTTGCCCTGCCTGCAGTTGCAGTAGGGGCCCAGGAGGTGGGTGAATCAGGGAACTGACTAGACTCCCATGTCTGCTCCAAGCAGGAAAGAGGAGGCAGGGATAGTGAACAGAAGGCATGCTACCGTGAAACAGGCACTGTGCTGATACATGATCTCAGAATGCTCTCGATGACCCTGTGAGGAAGGCTCGACGCTCTCCATCTCACAGATGGAGAGACTGAGGCCGGCAGAGGTCACCAACCATCAGGTGACACAGATGCTACCCACTGCCCGCTGTCCCCACTTAACATACCAGCTTGTCTGAGGAAAGGTTATTTATAAGTTAGGTTTCTACAAGCCATTCCAAATCAAAGAGGGGACCTGGCTCTTTGAAAGAACTAGAAGTGAGTTGTTTTAAATTATTTTTATTTTTTTAGTTTGGGCTGCACAGGGTCTTGCCTGCTCCACATGGGCCTTCTCTAGTTGCAGGGAGCGGGGGCC